GAAAATACTGCTCCCACCTCCCCAGGGTACCAGCTGACTTACAGGTTCCTCAATCCTAAAAGCAAGAGCTCCATGAATGGTGAAAAATGAAAGCGGAAGAGCTACAAGAGTACAGCCCCTGTGGCATCTGCCTCAGCTCTTCTCGGGCAGACCTGGGCCAGCCAGGGTAAGTGTGCCCTTCCTGGGGGACACTTTCTGCCGCCCACCTACGGGCTCTTACAGAGGTATCCTCTCACTGCCAGTCACATGTGAACATCCGAGAACTGGAAAGAAAACAACCCATCTGCATTTCTAGTATGTAAACTTCAGACTTAGGACTCTGCCAGAACAGGAGTCATGTCGTCACCAACCTAAACGTAGCAAATTAGAAACAGAGCACAACTGCTCACCCAGACTTCTCACAAAGTTGTCTTCTCTACAGCCTCAATTTGAGTATAACACCCCACCACAAAAGCAGTAAGGTGACTACATGCCTTGAAAATCCTACTTGCTATCCGCCTGAACCGTTAAGGTTCCTAAATATGTTTACAGTTCTGGCCCTATGCATTTATATTTTGATGCAAATACCGCAATGTTATATGCCTAGCAAAATTTACTTGGAACACTTATTTGAAGGCTGTTAAGAAACAAGCAGACAAAAAACATTAGCTTAATGCTTCTCTGAAGTGCTCAACAGATGTTAAAATATTTTAAAACATGATCATCCCAGAATATATTAGCAGCTGACAATTTAAATATCCCCTTAGTTGAGTTTTGCACAGTTTCTTTTAAAAACCTTTGTTTGGCTAGAAGATATTTTCACTTATTCTTCCGCATGAAAGAATATACCAACACCTATACAGAGCTTTAAATACCCTTCAAAGTTCAAAACATTCAGCTGTTTCATCCTCCTGTCCTCAGATAAATTAAGAGTTTTAACTAAATCTATTTCTGTAATAGGATTCTCACAAGCCTAGCCAAGTCCCTTCTCACATACCTATTTCATGAAGGAGACTGTGAGCACATACATTTACGTGGTTTCTCTAGTGGGTAATACATCTTCCAAAAAGGACGCTTTCATTACCATTTTTGAGCTGATAACTTTATTTTCTATTAATTCCTCACCAAAAAAAAAGCCCAAACCACCCTAGGAAGGTTTACAACGCTTGTAAGGGAGCAGAAGGATTAGTCTGTGTCTATCTGACATAGGAGAGAAAGGATTACATGCAGATTAAAAGCAGTAATTTACTAGCGAATAATCATTTTGTGCACAGCGGTTACATAAATCAGGCATGTCAGCACAGGGATCCCGGGTTTCATCGGCATCTCGGCACCGCTCGGCAGCCCTGAGCTGGAGGGAGCTGCTTACGCAAAGCCACTGGCAAGCGGTGCGGATGAGAGAGCCCTCTCTTTTCCTTCCTCATATATGGTCGTCTTGAAATCGTACAATTTTCAATTGTTGGCTGAAATGAAATGAAATAAGGGCAGTGACTCTTTCCAAATGGTTCGCTGCAACCCTTGTAAAAGGAATAAATTCAAATAGAATAGTATCTTACAAGTGGTCAAAAAACAGCGTCATGACAATTTTCTTTTGACTGCTGCGACTATGACCTTGGCTTTTTCTATATAACCTATTTGTCTGTAACTACTTACAAATGTTGCATTGGTTATTGTGCTGGTTTTGGCTGGGATAAAGTTAATTTTCTTCATAGTAGCTAGTATGGGGCTATGTTGTGGATTTGTGCTGGAGTGTTGATAATACAGGGTTGTTTTACACAGAGTCAAGGCCTTTTCTGCTTTTCACCCCACCCCACCAGCGAGGAGGCTGGGGGGGCACAAGAGGTTGGGAGGGGACACAGCTGGGACAGCTGACCCCAACTGACCAAAGGGATGTTCCATACCATATGACGTCATGCTCAGCATATAAAGCTGGGGGAAGAAGAAGGAAGGGGGGACGTTTGGAGTTAGAGCATTTTGTCTTCCCAATTAACCATTACGCGTGACGGAGCCCTGCTTTCCTGGAGATGGCTGAACACCTGCCTGCCAATGGGAAGCAGTGAATGAATTCCTTGGTTTGCTTTGCTTGCGTGCACGGCTTTTGCTTTACCTATTAAACTGTCTTTATCTCAACTCATGAGTTTTCTCACTTCTTTTACCCTTCCAATTCTCTCCCCCATCCTACCAGGGGTGAGTGAGTGAGCGGCTGGGTGGGGCTTAGTTGCCAGCTGGGGTTAAACCACAACAGTTACATTATAGATCAGAAATCTAATAATCTATTTCATGATTAAATGGAGATTAATTTTTTAAAATATTGGATGTGTTACCTTAGAATAACATTGTTCTTTAAGTAGAAGAAAACATCATGGGGAAAATTCCTTAGGTAAACACCTTAAAGCACTTCCTTCCAAAAGCTAATCTGGGAACAGGATGAGGAAATTAATTTCATTCCAAGTGCTCCACAGACATCTTAAATAAGTTTTGCTTTTAGTATAAAATGATTTTTTAATTATTATTATTATTGTTTAGGATTTCAGATAATTCTTTCTTAATTCCTGCATCTACAGTGACCTAGTAAATAACCTTTTTAAATTAATAGTATATAAGTAGCTTATTTGTAACCTTATTTTTAAACTTATTCATTTAGGATCATTATCATTCTGACTATATTCCATTAGATATCCTTTTCAAGGGCCGATGGCACAGAAGCATGTTTTTCTTTACTGCAAAATTAAATAGGAAACCTTTTAACCAAGAAAATAGAATTATGGATAATCTACTAATAAATCTTGAAACACTAAATCTTAAATGACTTCTCGTTGCAACAGTATGAGATTGAAAATATTAGACCACGTTTCTATATAATGCACACATTGTTTAAATTACTTGTTTAAAGTAGTTTGGAGTTATAAATAAAAAGTGTCCAGTATTTTGCGGGGGCGGGGGGGAAGAAAAAAAGGAATGTTCAAAGTTTTACAAGTAAATTTTTTCCTGTCATGAAAATAGTGGTGTGAATTTAGGTGCTCTTAGGTTTGGTTTTTTGTTCCTCTATGTTTTCCAGCAGATCCTTCCCTTTTCCAATTTTCCAAGCCATTTCATTCCCATGGAAGTGTTGCAACAAAAGTGCTGACATTTCCAATTCAAAGTTTCTCCAAGTTTTTCATTACACCAAGTTCGTTATGTTCTGATTTTCTGTTCTTGGTCAGAAGAAAAAGCTAATTCTGGAATGCCAAGATCTCTCAGGGGACGAACTTTCCCTTTTCTCAGTCAGAAAGCCCAACCGCCTGCCCCTGCCCACCCACGCCAGGCACAGGCGTGCATACTTGCTGTGGAAGAACCCAGAACAGTTTCCACTGCATTCTTCCAGCAGCCAAGACACAACCATTCCTGGTGAAGGGCTCCAAACCATAAGACTCTTGAGTTAAAAATAAAATCACACCACTGACAGACCTTCTCAGGGCATCTCATTAAGAACCACTGCAGCCTCCCACAGACCCCAGCAGCCGCTGTGGCTGCTCCTCCACCCAAAGGGTAAGCAACTGCTTTCCTTTTAAGCATGAATTCAGAGTTTAACTGAGTCTAGGAACTGAGACATAGCACAGCAATAAATAAAGAGCAATAAATTAACGTCATTAACAATACAGTGGGATAGAGTATTTTGCGTGGCAGAAGGGAAAACACCCGATGGCAGAAGTGAGCTCCAGCACGCCAGAGGGAACGCAGGGCTTAGTACTCCAAACTGTGTTCAGCTCTTCTGTTTTTTGAAATGCATGCAACTATTCCTTTTTCCTGTAACTTTGACAAGAAATTAGAAGTCCGAATACTTGAAAACATGTTTGTTGGTATTCTAAAACTCAGATAACTTTATTAATCTACCAGTCCTGGAAACCATTATTCTCGGAGGCCTGCCCAGCTGAACGGCCGTGTTCAGTGTGTCCCTTTCTCCAGCCTTGCAACACACCAAAAGGAGGGGGTTATCTATCAGACACAGACATCTGTGCACAGCTGGTCACCCGAGGCTCTCTCTGGAGTCCACAGAAAGAAACAAGAACTTCCGTAGTGCTATTCCTCTCTTCCCAATGTAGACACCTAAAACACATTATATGAACTGCATCTGTATATATGTTATACATACATATATATAAAACATATATACATCTGTATATATGTTATTTAATGACTAATGTAACTAGCATTTTTGCTTAAAATACTACTCTCATGTTATGATTTTCCTTTTCTACATTTAGCTATCAGTCCCCAAATGAAAAGCTTTCTGCTTTACCTCTGAATTATTTTATTGATGATAGTTTTCTTAAATACTTTCAATGTACTATTCAAAAGTTGTAATCTAATTATTATAGATAAGCAAGTTTAAGGTATTCAGAACCTCTCAGTAAATAATATTTTATGTCTTACAAGACCTGTGATTCAATCCTGTTATCAGGAACAGCAAGCAGCAATCCTTATAGTCCTGTGCTAGCCTGAGGCAATTTTAAAATAAAAGCCTACAAAAGTTCACTTTTTTGAGCTGCTAAAGACACTTTTTCTGAGAAAAGATGAAAGAATGGCGGTTAGCCAATTTTTTGTTGTTGTTCATTTGTTTCTTAAAGGTATATGAATTCAGTTTTACTGCAAGCCTCATGCTAAGTAGCTATGCATATGTTGTAGGGTTTGTTTTAAGCCGTTGCTGTTGTAACTATCTCAGATCAAGAAAAATAGTAATTCATCCTCACCCGCCTCCTCCAAACTTAAGTGTACAGACATACACCTTTAGTGCATTTTTTCCTGCCTCAAGCATGGAGAGGGGCTGGCTCAGAAGCGTTAGGCTAGCAATACTGCAAACTGCTAATTCGCTTCCTCGCTTACTTATGGTGGTTTCTTCCAGATATGCTTTCTAGTAAGCGTGAGAGAAATGTCAAAAGATAAAGAACAACTCTGAAGTCTCTGCCCCGTCATGCAACTTCTGCCAGCACCAATTCTGGGATCCACCTGGGAAGCGATGAGCCATTTCCCAAAGAATGGAGCTAAAAGTAGTTTCACTCGGTCTACAGTCCTGCTGCAATGAAAGCCCTTTGAAACCTAGCTTAAGAACCTCTGCTTAAAAACAGTTTTTAAAAGTTAAAGGCTGTAAAAAGGTCCTCAGACCCGCCCGGAACTGTCCTTCCCGCTCCCCTTCACAAAGGGAGCCAGATGAAGCTGCAGCATTACCCAGGACCCTGGCCGGGGACCCCCGCTGGGGTACTCAGAGAGGAATCCCGATTGAAAATAAGGGTGCACCGTAGCTCTCTGATCCTTCCGCTCCCTCTCTCCTTGCTGAGACGTGTTTGTTTTCTTTAGTCCCTTCCCTCCTACAATGCCTGGGCTCAGGGGAGAACTAGAATAGCCACCCCTTAATCCTCACTTTTTTTTTTTATTCTCAAAGTTATTTTGCTTTCTGCAGTAACTGTACACGGGATATATATTTATATACGTTTAAAGCTAACAATCCCCACTGAGTCTCACAAGCTTTTACAAGACACTATAAAAGAATCACACGGAAAAGCAATGATGCAAAGTCAAAAGGTGAACACTGTCCTCTGAGACCACAGATATGTATTCTGGGTCACAGGAGTGAAAAAATGTACTTCAGATTTAAGTCACCTCCTTCCATTGCTTTCTGTTACATCCCCACTGAGATCCCAACCAGTGTTTTTAAATTTTTTTTTTTAATTAGGCCTAGATTCCTGATATACCTAAACCAGTAATATTACTACACGTTGTAGCTAGATATCTAACATACAAGTGATTATAATGCATTGCAAGAGCATCAGTCATATGTTAGTCCTCATACAATTTTCTAAAGGCTTGGCTTCTTTGTTTTTAAAAACAAAAAATAAGTCAAATTTACTTAAATTTATCCTTTAGGGGAAATCAATCCAGAAAGAAACTGCACCCAACAAGCAACCAGGGACTTCATGTACCAGTCTGCATGATCTCACAGTGGCTTTCAGGAATGGCTGTGACTGGATTAATCTTTAATTAATATAATGAAATAAGAATGTCATTTGCCAAAAGTGTCAAAGTGAAGCTTACAGATCTGAACAGAGTCAGTATATAAGAAATCGATATTGATTTCCTCTGAACTAGGTTATTTTATTGTGATCAATTGGGGGGGGGGAAGCATTATTTCCATATTTTTCAATTTTATAGTACTTACAAAGCCATTCCCATCTTCATCAAGGAATGGGTATGCCTGCAGTAGAGCATTGACAACAATGTTATATTGCTGACTGTTTGGATACCTGTGCAAACAAAATGGAGATGTAAAAAAAAGAGTTGGTATTCTAGACAGTATTAGACACTGTCTGGAGTCTATACTGATATGCATTAAACTGACTATTTCTAAGGCTATCAATTCCCCTCCAAATAGCAAAGGGAACAGCTTTAAGGTTTGCAAGAAATCTTCCTGTTTGACTTCAACAGGTTTCAGGCCCTTAGTCTCCTCTATTTAAGCAAGCATATTAAAGAGAATGGCTTTACATCCATTTGAAAATTTATTTCTGCAGCCACTACGTAATGCCCCCAAATAAATCTAACAATGTTTACTCACAGTGATCCTTCTAGGTATTTTGTCATGTCTGCTTGCAAAAATTCAATAATCCTTATTCTCATACTGTGATCAGGGCATTTTTTTTCTGCTAATATGCACTTGACATCATAAGGGAAGTCTGGCAAAGCATAAGAACTTGTCCACTGCAACGTCTTGTATCTTGCAAAAAATGATTTCAGATTTTTTCTGTAAAAGAAAAGATTATATCATCATGATCACATTCTTCTTCTATCGGAATGCAGGCAAGAAGGAAAGAAAAATACAAGCAAAAACTCAACACAAAGCAAAGTTATCACTATAGAAATTCGAGGCTTGCTCTCTTGATTTCTACATAAAGAATACCTACGAAAGTTGCAATCAAAACATATGGGGTTAAAACCAGATGTCAAATGTGAAATGTTTTAATCAGCAGACACTAGAAGGTGGTCACTAACTGAAAGCAGAAGGCGGAGCAGAGGAAGTCACCGGGGACTTGCCTAGACTGCTGCAAAATAACTTTATCTGTCATCATTTACAATGTGTTTCCTACCAGTTCTGCTAACTTACTAGTGAGAGTAAGCAAACAGCTTAATTGAATAAAATACTCTACACGACATTAGCCAAGACTGTCCTCCCAACGGGGAAAGCATCGAAGGGATGAAGGCAGTTACCAGCACACGGATGAAGGCCGCTGTTACCAGCACAATGGCTGGAAACAAAGCAGACGCAGCCTGGAAGCACCCACCGCTCCCGTCCCGAGAAGGCCGTCAGCACTATTTACAAATGTCAGAGCCCAGCTGGGGTGAGCCTGCAGCAGGATATCACCACTGGCTACCCAAGTGCTTCCCGCCTCCACAGCGCCTGCCAAACCCTAATTCTGAAGGAACACAGGGAAAAGTAGAGGTAAATTGAGCTGGAAGTCAATCAAGAGCCACCTAAAAAGTGGAGTGGTTCTGGCAGCCCTAGACAGCTTCCCAGTCATAGTAGTCCAGACCCAATAAAGAAATTTCAAGTGAGAGGTGCCAAAGACAACTAGAGAGTCCTGTTATGTATGTGGTATCACTGCAATTTATGTCTGCTTTAATTTACATTGCAGAAAGCAATCTGGAAACAACTACAAGACTCTTAAAAAAAATTTTAAAATAAAATGCTGTCACTGTAGATGACAAATGTAGACGCTTACATGGTATAAATATACAGATATCTATATCTGAATTAATCATCTGCACTCTCTTTATATTCACTGAGGAGAGATAAACACCACTGAAGGATGACAGAACAATGAGAAGACATCTAAATCAGACCAGATGTTCTCTCTCATCTGTTTCTCTCCACTAATTATGAAGAAAATTAAGATAGTTACCACAGTTGTTGAAATTTACACTGTATATGTCTCAAGTTAGGAACCCTCCACTTGGTAGGTGAAAGCTCCCACACAAAGACGTATGGCTGGACTAGGCAGGCTCTGGTGTCCCTTCCAAGCTGCACTAGATTTTGAGTCTATGAAAGTTATGGAGGGAAATACTGTGAGACTTCAGTCGACATACACAAGTTTTCACTCCTAAAGGTCTCTATGGTAGCCTATAAACAAGAGCTAGGTATATAAATAAGAGTTGTGATGAGTTTTAGCAAGGTCTTCATCGGGAGTTTTTGCTATCCAGCCTCTTCCAGATAAGGATGTAAAAAACCCCATGGTAGCCAATACCTTTAGGCTGGCAAAATCAACTGCAATACCAATGGATGAGCATTTGCAATAGCTTAGTTTACACCACTTTGAAAGATTACTATATATCTGGGAGGCAGATTATTTTGGGCCCCTATAGCCATAGTTATAGCCTCAATACCTTCTTTAGTAGATTAGCCTATAACTCTCAACCTTGTTGACGTGGTTATGCTGCCACACCATCCTGGCATCTTTTAATGTCGGTTGGTAGTTTGCAAGCTGGTAAAAGCTCTACAGCCATGATATAACTTTACCAACTCCAGCACTACTGCAAACTGCCATGCAGTGCTGGGAAAAAAAAAAAAAAAAATTTGGATACTGTCATCTCATAGTTATATTAACAGTAGTAGCAGCACTCACAGCACTGCCGTTTCCCCATGCAAAACAGGTACAAAATGGCCAAGGCTGCTGTCTCTCCAAGCTCACCAGATTTTAAGGGACACAGATGGTTAACGGTAGATGCCAACTGTAGTGAGCTTCTGGTAGTACTTTACAGTCTCAAAAGAAGGAAAAGCTGCGCGAGAAGTGACAAACATATCCACACAGACACATTCATCTCCTTTTTTGGTGATAAATTAATACACAAATGGGAAAATAAAACCGAACCCAGATTCTGAAATCACTTGGAAATCTGTCCTATGCAAATAAAGTGCAGATGTTCAATGTAGCATCAACAAGGAGCTCTGCAGCCTACGAGTTTGAACCGTGTACTTCCACCAACTTTACTGATGAAAGTGATGTAGCAGACAGGCTGCAAGTTACTACATACCATTTTCAACATCCTATCTTTAAACTAGCTCAAAAGTGTACAGAAGTTTAAAATGTGCAGTAATTTGTAGCTTTCAGCCGTGCTGAAATTCCTGTTGTTGCTAATACCAGTGAAGCTGAATTGCCATTTCAAAAAGTGGAACAGTTCAACAGGTTCAGTTCAGGCAAACTGAACTGTACTCAGTGTCCTGGTTTCGGCTGGGATGGATTTAATTTGCTTCCTATTAACAGGTATAGTGCTGTGTTTTGGATATAGTATGAGAATAATGTAACACACTGATGTTTTAGTTGTTGCTAAGTAATGTGTACTCTAGTCAAGGACTTTTCATCTTCCCGTGCCCTGCCAGGTGTGCAGGGGGCTGGGAAGGAACATGGCCAGGACAGCTGGCCCAGCTGGCCAATGGGCTATTCCACACCATATGACGTCATGCTCAGCATATAAGGCTGGGCGAAGAAGAAGGAAGGGGGGACATTCGGAGTGATGGCGTTTGTCTTCCCAAGTAACCGTTACGCGTGATGGAGCCCTGCTTTCCTGGGGATGGCTGAACACCTGCCTGCTGATAGGAAGCGGTGAATGAATTCCTTGGTTTGCTTTGCTTGCGTGCACGGCTTTTGCTTTACCTATTAAACTGTCTTTATCTCAACCCACGAGTTTTCTCACTTTTACCCTTCTGATTCTCTCCCCAATCCCACCTGGGGGGAGTGAGCAAGCAGCTGTGTGGTGCTCAGTTGCCAGCTGGGGTTAAACCACAACACTCAGTTACTTGAAGAAAATAACATTTTCTTGGATTTGGCATGGCTAATAGCCAGGGAGGCATGGTAACTCTCCCCTTCACCAGTCCCTTCACATTTGCCAGTACAAAAAAAATACTCCAAATTCCATTTCTCTTCAGCCGGGCCCAACACAGAAAATACTTTCTTGCTGTTCAAACAAGATCCAAAAATTCCTTTAGTCTTCACAGTGCAAAAGATTAAATATTTTACTAGCTTTTGCTGAAATCATCACTGTTGGGCAGTCATGTTAAATATGTGCAGTAATATTTTACAATTAAATACAAGTTTGTTTGAAAAGAGACACAACTCCACATTAAGTTTTATCCCCAGAAATGCTCACATGCAAACTTGTTTAACTAAAAGAGCAGTTCAGTTAAACTGTACATGATTTATGCATATAGCTAAGACCTTCCTTGATTGTGGAGAACAGCATTACAGCCAGAGATTTAGGTACAAACATACATAGCCTGTTTCTAAGCATTCCTCTCTGGTCTTCTAACTAACCTGAGACAGAGATAAGATCAAGATCCCAAAACGCAAATTACGACATCTTTTCTTTTCTCTCAGTTCTCGAGACATTTGATGCTGCACCTAAATCAATCTGATGGCTAGCCGCTGCCGAATGTCAGTCCCCCTTTTCCCCCACTGTCACATGTCTCTACCCCTTTCTTACTGGTACTGGGAAGCCTCTAACCATGCAGCAAGATACTTCAAGGAGCTACAGTGATGAAATTCTTCGGTTTTCTTCTTGGTTTAATTTTCTCACTGTTTAGGTCCCCAAAATAGCTGCCCATGAGGTGAAACAAATACCAGCGCAGAGGAAGCAAGCTGATCTCTATATTTAGCTGCAATATGGAACTGCATCCTAAGAAGCATCTCCTCAGCAAGGACACAAATAATCACAGAGTTTTTGACCACTCAGCTTTTGCAGATGACCACTTACTGTACTAAGTCACAGCACTCTTTCACACAGCTATTTCTTTCTTTAGCTCCATTACAGCCTTACGCTGCTCACTCGCAACATGTTTACTGAGACACAAAACTATAAAATAACATCATTTTGGGAGGAGCTGTTTGTCTCCTTCAGCTGGCAAAAAAACCAAACCAAAACAAAAGAAACAATCCCCAAACCCCCCTCCTATGTGAATTATAGAACCCCTGGAATCCCTAATCCCAGGGAATATCTTGTTTTACTGCTAAAAAGGCAAATATTTTACACACTTGCAGCATCACCCAGATCATTCGATGAAGGTTTTAGATCATGATCTCCCAGCTCAGTGTCCTGTGCAACCTCATGCAGAGACACAAAACTGCCTGAATTAGCTCTAACAAGACAGTAAAAATAATCTTGGCATCAATATAGACAGCTCAATCAAGATAGCTGTGTAAAGTGCAGTAGAGACCTAGAAACAGGTTCAAACACTAGATCATATGATTTTGTTATTTTTAAGCTTCTGAGCGTACTGGTAAGAAAGATCAGTTTCCTGCATCTATTTAGTTCATTCAAAAAAAAAAAAAAAAGCGGACTTAAAGGACAACTGAGCACACGCATAAATAGACTGTGTGCTACATGCTTTTCTCATTGTATGCCTACTTTACTCCATGTCCATAAGTCTATGGCACCCATTGCTACATCTTGTATCAGCTTAGGTCCCAGTAACTCAGAGGACATCACAGCTGAGTAGAACCTTGCTGACGTCAACGGGTTCCCACATTTGGCACATCCAGATAAAACTCAGCACATGGGTGGAGCCTTAATAGATTACCATTTTTCACAGGTAAAGGTCTAGCCTTTTGCTGATGTTTGGTGTAGACATGCGAGAGATCCCTGTCTGAAGATTTGTAGGCTGGAAAAAAGTCCATGTCTACAAAGCCAAGGAAGAAACAGAAGAGAAAAGAAGACCTGGAGCTTGCAGATGTGAAGGAAAGGAAAAGTCTGCAGATGTAGAAAGTGTTCCATTTCACTAACACATGTATTATATGCTTTCAACTTCATGACAATATTTAAGGTTGTAAAGGTTATTTCCATCAAAAGGAAGAAATTATGACAGATGATGAAATATCAGAAGAAACTCTTTTTCCCCCCTCTCAATAGTAGGATAAAATAGGGCTCTCTTTTCTACTCACAGTTCCGAGATTTGTGCTGGAAAGATTCTCGTGCCTTTCTCTTCATGTGCTTCACTGCCGTTTCCTATTTTCCAGCACAAATGCACAGTTTCCCAGTTATTCCCTAAAGCCTGGGATTTGCAGTCTGCCTAGTGCCT